ATACTCATTCAAGGAGCTATCTCCTTGCTTAGATTGATAGATTTCGCATTTGATTTCCGCAATTCGAAACAAATCCTGTTGGCTGAACCTCTTTCTTAGGTCATTCCATACTCCATACGCTGTGTCGATCCAGATGACACTCCGACCGATCATCGGTGATAAGGATCGAACTAGCCAAGTGACAACCATATTGTTACATCGCTCCCAATAGGGATATCTGCGATCATCTTTAGAAGGTTTAGTGATGGTGCCGTCCACAAAAACGAGCTTATTCTTGCACGACAGCGCCATAGACACAGCCCTAGCCCAAGGATGATAGTTTGGGCCTTCTAATGGTGTGGATACCAGCTCTAAGGCTGGACTTTCATTGGCATGCATGAAATACGGATTCGATTGTGCTTGGGAATCGAGAGATACCTCAGTAGTGTTTGACGCACTCGGAAGAGTTGGAGAAGCAGGTGTTGGCGCCGGACTTCCAATCGCCGGTCCTCCTGTTGTATTATCGATCGGAGTTGTCCGATTGCCGATTGACGGCCACGCTGCCATGGTAGTTCCTCTTCTAAACGGAGACTCCTCACAGGAGCTCTGATACCATGTTGTGAAGTTGGAGCAGAAGGATTGAAGATAAAGAGGAAAAAAAGGGAATTGATTAACTACCAAAAAGGAAGCTCAACATGAGCTTATATACAGAGTACAGAGATAAGAAAGAAGCAGTTATAACTGCCAAAAGCGTCTACTAAAGACGTCTACCAAGCGCGTCTACGAAAGGTGTCTACCAAAGACGTCTATCAAACGCGTCTACCAAAGGCGTCTACCAAAGACGTCTACCAAAGACGTCTACCAAGCGCGTCTTCTTCATTCTGTTGCTGCACTTGATGTTAAGCTGTCATTCTTATCTCATGAGATTCATGAAAATATATATTGTGCATTATATGAATGCATTTAGTAATGTTAAGTTTAAATTTATTTTTGTGATCCAATCATCACTACTTAGGCCTTAAAGGTTTTTTCCTAATCACGAAAAATTTTAAATTATTGAAATATGTTGGGGGATAGTTTTGTGACTATGGAAGTGAATGGTTAGCTAACTTAAACCTTAAAATGGCAAGTTTTTGAGAGTTTAACAGAGTGTGTATTCAAAATTGAGAACCTTTTACAATCTCTTTTTCATGATTTATATACAAGTAAGAACATGGAATGCATTCAGTGAAATTGGAGACTAAATCCTTAAAATATGCCAATTGATTACAAATTGATTTGATTCTAATCATGACAAGATCTTCCTAAAACATGCTAACAAATTACCATATTACTATTATCATAAATAGGAAACTTTGTCTGAAAACATAGGTTATAGAACCCTTTGTTCTTACCCGTCAGTAGATATTTCATTTATTACCAACACATTTTTTATATAAAATATTAAAATTCATAGGTATTTAATTAAGTTGTAATTATTTAGTCCATTGTCAGATCTATTGATATTTTGGTTGTTTTCTTGTAAAGTTATCCTAACAAGGAACCAAATTACTCTTCGGTAGTGTGAGGATCTTGTCCTCGCCTCACCAAGGGATCCCCTTTAATTGTACATGTTACTTCTTTTTTCGATAGTGCCAAGATCCTCATCCACTTTCTCGTTACATCCAACTGTACGTACGTGGATCCGGAGCGTCGTCTTCAAACATTACTTGTACAATTGAGAGTATTTGTATTGTATGTAATTGCTTGTACGTTCAATCATTGTTAATCATGGTTTAGCCATTAGGAAGTCAAAGGCATGTAATAATTTGCATTTATTACTCAAAATGTACATAACCAAAGGCAGACTAGTAATAAGAAGCTAAGGGCATGTTCTCGATCATAAAGTTATTCAAAATTCACAAGATTGACATCAATTCATTACACTTCTGATTTCCATTTGTCATTTAAAATGACGATTAAAACTTTAGCATGAGTATTAATTACTAGATTTATAATAATAATAATAATAATAATAATAATAATAATAATAATAATAATAATAATAATAATAATAATAATAATAATAATAATACTAATAATAATAATAATAATAATAATAATAATAATAATAATAATAATAATAATAATAATAATAATAATTTTTTTTAAAAAAAAAAAAAAACAAACAAAACAAACTTTAGCATGACTATTACTAGCTTTATATTTGAGCACATATAATAAAACAAACAATAGTTAGTTGTTGTCGCTTAAAAACAAATTAATAACAACTATAAAGCATCTTGGCTTGGGGGAGGGAAGGGGTGGGTACAAAATGGATAGTGACATAAAGTTGAGGTTTAATTTAAAAAACGTGTAAGAAAAATGATTGGAAAAGAAAAAAATGTATATATAGTTTTTATTAAAAGTGGACTTCAAATTAATCCCTTTCACCACGTTGAAAATGCAGATCAATTAGCTAATTCACATTGGGCAATTTATATCGTGGACTTTGATCCAATATATAGAATTTGACTTTATAAAATACAGAATTCATGTTCATAATGTACATAATTATATAGATGAGGATACATAAACACTTAACATAATACATAAAATTCATGTTCATTATATCATATTTATATGTATGTGTATTGTGAATATGAATTCTGTACATTATAAACATGCATTTTGTACATTATGAAATCAAATTTTGTGTATTTAACCAGGGTCCACAGTGCATTGTGGACCCTGGTCCACGATATAACAATTGTCCACATTGGTATGCAAATATTTCCCTAGCATCTTAACAATGTGTTTGCTACTATCACAACTTTTTTTTTTTTTTTTTTTGGAAAGATCATTAAATGGCGTGGGTGACTTTAATAATAATAGAGTTAATACTCAAAATAGTTATGATTTTTCTTAATTTTGTCCTAAACTATTTTGGGTAACCTAATGTAGTTACAGATTTTTGTGTTTTTTTTTCAATTTAGTCATTCGTTTGTTATTACGTCAAATTGGTGTGAAGTAAATGGACAATTCAGTAATCTCAATATTGGTCCCTCTTTACTCTCAGATCTGCAAAATCTCTCTTTCTTTTACGAATTATTCTCATGCGAATCAAATTTTATATTCGCAAGTTGAGGGATTTCACACTTCGCAGGTCTAAGAGTAGAGAGAAGCATATATTAAAATTAATGAATTGTCCATCTATTTTACAACAAATAGACGAAATAATAAATAGATGACTACTATATTGAGCAAAAAACTCAAAAATCTAGGACTACATTGGATCATCAAAGTCGTTTAGAACGAAATTGAGAAAACTCATTATGATCGAGGACCATTTTGGTATTAACCTAATAATAATAATAATAATAATAATAATAATAATAATAATAATAATAATAATAATAATAATAATAATAGGAATTCAATTTAAATGAGTAAGCACGTACAGTGCACAGTCTAATTGATGAGGCAATTGGTTCTATAACCACTCCCTGTGAGAGAGAGTGTGAGGTCTGGTTTACCTGGTCCATAGTTGATGAATCTTATATTCTTCAACTCGAACATGCCGGCGTTAAGGATTGTGGCGGTGGATTTAAAGGCCCAAGGTTGTGCGCTTCGCAAATTATGCCCTGGAAACGTGTTCACCGTGAATGGTGAACACAAGTCCAAACGACGTCGTTTTTATGCCAAAAAAAAAAAAAAAAAAAAAAAAAATCGCGAATGTGGAGTTAACGTCGCGCGTTTGATCAAATTATGAATTTTTTGTTATGAGATTATGAATGTAATGTAAATTCATAATCTCATAACAGTAAATTCATAGTTTAATAAATATTTTACTTTTATGCGATTATGAATTTTCTGTTATGAGATTATGAATTTACATTACATTCATAATTTCATAACAGAAAATTCATAATCTCATGGTTCCAAAGTGAATGTGTAGGCATGGTTCCAAAGTGAATGTGCAGGCATGGATTCATAATTTATGAATGTCCGTGATTTCGGACGGGAATGTGTAGGCATGGTTCCAAAGTGAATGTGCAGGCATGAATTCATAATTTATGAATATCCGAAATCATTGTTCACCTCAAGTTAAAGTGAAACCGAGAAATGTAAAAATAAAGAAAAAAAGTCACACAATTAATAATAATAAAAAAAAAAAGATAACGGTAACACCGTTGGAACCGTGTTCACCATGAATGGTGAACACGGTTCCATGGCATAACGATTGTGTGCGCTTGCGTTCTTTATGTGGCGAAACTCCTTTTCTCTCTCGACGAAATTATACGACAGAAAAATGCCGTTACAGCTATCGCCTATCGGAACCTTCGTAATCCTCCGCTCTAGTAGCGTACACCACCAGAGAATACACGAAAATGTGCAGAAATTTTTTCCTTTTTGAGTTTGTTTTCATTGTTTTCTTCAGATTGAAATGCTGGGGATTCTGTTGGGAATCAGAGCTTTTTCCCCGGAAAAGATATTGGGTTTTGTTTAGGATAATTGGAATTGCAGCAGTGTCGGATGAAGTCACCATGAAAGTGTAACAGAACCTTTTACCAACTCGCTCTTGGTCTATGATTGCCATGCAACTAAATTGCCGGGATTCAACTACAAATGGTCGTGCTATATATTTCTGTTATTTCATGTCTTTTTAGGCGATGTCAAACCAAAGAAATTTTATAATGTCTTAGTGATTGTATACATGGACATGCCTAGGAATTTTTATCTGTTTCTCAGTGATTGTATACATGGACATGCCTAGGAATTTTTATCTGTTTCTCAATTATTTCCTCTTTCACATATTTGATCCTTTATTGTCCCAAAAGAAAAAATTTTGAATGAAGAGCGAAACCCACAATCACTACATGAGGGTGTGCACTGATTAAACTTTGTCGGGTGACCCTAAGGCCAATAAGTTACTTTTGTTGAGAGTTAAACTTATAACCTTATAATTACCAAATAAACCGTCGACCTTTACTGGTATTATAGGAAACTTACTTGGTCATATATAGCCTGTGAATAAGCAATAGCAGAATCAATCATCATATCATCAGTACCCATATAAACCAACTGTTTACATTGCCCAGTTTCATCACAGTCTCAAGATGAGCAAAGAAAAAAACAAAGAGAAAAACATTTTCATTTCTCTTGAACTTCTTCTCAGTTGATGATTGTTATGATTTATACCCTTGGTTCTGTCTCACATCTCCCCATCTAGGCTTTCCTAATCTTCTTCTCTCCTTTTTTTTTTCTTGTATTTTCTTAATCATAGAACACTGGCCCCACTCAAATGTACAGAATTTGTTGTGTTTTTTTCTACAGCTTCTTGCACTCTCTTCTGTTAACAACTCTGATGATCAAACAAGTTAGAATATTTCATTGGCTAAGATAGCAACTTTGAACATCAACACAATGCCACTTCTACATCTGCAGAATCCGGGTTCCCTTGGGCTAACTTGGCCTTGGACTTTCCAGTTTGAAATGATCCCAGCGAGGAAGAGCTCGAGGTGCCAGACAGATCTGATTTGTTCTTCTTTCGTTTATGTTTTTTAGGAATCTCCACTGGGGTGTTGCTATGAAACTCAGATCCAGATTGCTTTCTCGTCGACTCTCCAAGATCTATCGAACAAGAAAACCATAATGCAAACGAACAAATAAGCGAATAACCATGATGGAAACCAGCTTAAATTTGCTTCTAAGTATACATCACAAAAGCTTAAGCATGACAAAAAAGCTTGAACATGTTGAGCATATAACCATTAATGTGCAATCCAACTATCAGCTTAGGCTTTTAGTTGAGATGGAGCACATGCTTCAATTGAACATTCTAAGGATTACGGTTTAGCAACGCGATGGTTGTCATGTCGCGGTAGATTTTAAGGTAAAAATTTCCTTTTTAACATTTTCCCATGACTGTTCTTTGTACCTCAGAATCTCAGATGGTATTGCAAGAGCTGAAGAAAGTCACAGATATGAAAATGTCACTGTCAGACCAACCGGCCAACACTATTTTAAGACACCTCACGACAGAAAACTGTCCCTTTTATGGGTCCATTTTCTTGGCAGATTCCCAAGCTAAGAACCTCACGGGACAGATGATCCAAACCCCATTCCTTTAAGCAAAGAATCTAATAAGATTATTAAACTTTAACAAGAACAGAAGATAAAGTTTGTTTGTTTTTTTTCCCCCAATTATCGTATGACTGTATGTCTAACAATACAACAATGTACAAGACAAAATTATCACTTTTCTTTCAGTAGTAACTCTCAACTTGGGAGAGCAGTCCTTTTTTGCCCTTGTCTGGTTAGGAACATGGCACATGATACTAAAGCAATTGCCCATTGGCATCAAATGCTTTTGCTAATTCTGTGTCACCCTTTTGGGGCTATTTTGGGTCATAAATTGGCATATATGAAAGAGCTGAAGTTCTAATAATTTAAAAGAAATTTGAAACTGGGAAGATCATGGAGAAATTGCAGAACGAACCTGATTTACCAATGTTAGTAGCTGCGAAATCTGGGCCTTGCTTGAACTCCTTCATCTACAATGCCCACAAAAATCAAGAACAAAAAGATCAAATTTTTATAATTTATGAAATTCTTTTTTAAGGTATTGATTGATGGGTATATGATTCATACCCAACTAGGTGCAGAACCAGTTTGCCCATCCCACCCAATGTGTGCCAAATGCTTAACATCTGTCGGGTACCCAATTTGAATCTCAATCTCAGGCTCCTTCACAACTGCAAACAAAAATTAAACAGTTTTATTTTGTCTTTAATCACCTCATAATTTCGGCAAATCCTATGATTAGACAGACAACCAAACTGCCAAGTGGTAAGATTCTTCACCATTACCGAAAATACTGGAGATGTATTTGAATCCAGCCTTGAAGGTTCCCTTCATATTGGTTCTCATGGAAGATTCTGAAAAATGCCCAACCTGCAGATACCCTTCTTCTCAGATGTGAACCGCAATCAACAAGAACACCCAAAAAAATCACACATTTGAATACAAATCCGAAATAAGAATCGCAGTACCTTTCAAAGAAGAGGTGCAGAGATGAAAGAAACAGAATCTTTCTATACCACTTCTCCCCCTTCCCTCACAGCAACCTTCCTTCGTATTTTCTCGAAACATACATCTTTAAAACATGCATGCACAACAATCAGACAATCACAACAGGACAACCATCATTCTGGGCTCGCCCAAATACCAGAAAACAATGGGAAATTGAAGAGGAAAGCGTTGATGATCGAAGAGAAAACAAAAGAAGGAAGAGAGGAAAGGGGGAAATGGAATAAAGTTTTGATCTTTGCTGGAGAGAAGATAGAGGGGAGAGTGGTAATGGGGGAAGATTAAGGGAAGTAGAGATGGGCAAGCACGACAAGCTCCCGAAAGAAAGGACGGGTTTTGGTTTATTGATTTTACGAGGATATGGACAGAGAAAGCCAGAAAGGAGAGAAAACATTCAATCAATCAATGTGTAATTTGACTGTGACAGACCTCCCCTTGTAATCTGTAATCAATAAATAAATTAGATTTAATTCCATTTTTATCATAAACTTATATGGTACAATCCACTTATAATCTTTTTTATCAAAATATTTTTTTTAGTTCTAATATTAGTGTGACATGATCATTTTTATTCATAAATCAACAGAATCAATGTGATACCGTTAAATACAAGGACATTTTAATCTTTTTATATAAAAAGTAAGTTGACTCATTATATTTTTTATGTTAAATTTTTTTAAAAAAATTCATAAATAAAAAACAAAAAGTCTTTGTATTTAATAATATTTTAACTATTTTATTGATAAAAAATAATTATACTACAATAATACTATGATCAAAGAGAGATGTTATGACAAAATGACTAAAAGTGAACAGTCATATATAACTCTATTATCAAAAATGGAATTTACTCAATAAATTATGTTTGGACTCTGAAGTCTGAAACAAAGTGATTTTTTTTTAGGGTGTGTTTGATTGGTGAGTTTTGCCCATAGGAATGGGTATGAAAGTAATTGTTGTTGTTTGGTTGATAGGTTTTTAGAACACTACTATGGGTTTTGAATATCCCATCAATTAAAAAATTCATACCCAAATAAAATAAGAGTTTCATTCCCTTATTCATTCTCAAGCACTACTATTAATAACCATTCACATTCCACCCTACTACCAAACATGTTAAATACTTTTATCAAAATCCATTACCATTACCAAGTATTTGTATACCCATTCTGATTCCGATTCCTATGTGCAAACCAAACACACCCTTAATACTGTTAAGTCTAACAAAATTATATTATGTAGCCTTCCGCCCTTCCCTCCGCACAAAACAAACCAACTTTTTAAGCTTTTGCCTCGTAAAAATATTAAGTATAATCAGTGTCTTAATGTCGACAATATTAATGGTGGCCTGGAGCAGTGGAGCTTACGCCAATGAGGGTTTCAATATTAAATGATGAGTGCTCGTGAAAAAAGTTTGACTAAATATATAATGACGACAAAATTAGCCATTAATAAATATATATATATATATATTTTAATTAATCCATCTCCATGGATGAGAATTAATTTCAGCTTTTGATTTCATGAATAATTGAATATAATAAATTTTCTATTTTTAGTTTACAACTTAAAAATTGATTAGATTTGGTATTTGATTATAAATCATGTTAGACTTTCTTCAATTTTTCATTAATTATTTTTACCAAACTTAGACCTCATATTTTATAGCAAGAAAAATGAATTGATTATTCGACGTTTTTCATTTGAGTAATACCCCAAATCGTCTTCGACTATAGTGGTTTTTTTCAATTTTGTCCTAAACGACTTTGGTGACTTAATGTAGTCCCAGAGTTTTGTGTTTTTACTCAATTTCGTCCCAGACTTTTGTATTTTTTCCTCAATTTAGTCCCCCATTTGTTATTCCGTCCATTTGTTGTTAAATAAATAGACAATTCAGTAATTTTAATATTGACATCTTTTTATTCATACACATGTGAAGTGCAAAATCCCTCTGTTTTTACGAATTACTCTCAGAATCACTTCTAAAGTTGCGAATATAAAATTTGATTCGTCGGTCTGAGAGTAACTCTGGGTGTAATTCATGTAAGAAAGAGAGATTTCTCACTTCGCAGGTTGAAAGTAAAGATAGGTCAATATTAATATTATTGAATTGTCCCTTTATTTAACACCAATTTGACGGAATAACAAACGGAAGACTAAATTGAGCGAAACACAAAAGTCTAAGACTATATTAGGTCACCAAAGTTGTTTATGACGAAATTGAGAAAAACCACTATAATTGAGGATAATTTTGGGTATTAACTCTTTTTCATTTAGTATATCATTTAACTAAGTAGCATTAAGAATATATGCTGTACTCCAAAAAAAAAAAGAAAAATAAATAAATAAATAAAAGATGCTAGAGGGTGAACAATGTAGGGAAAGGAGTATTCTTCTTTGATTATGGTAACATTACCACTTTTAATCCTTCATAAAAAATCAAATCAAATCTATTTAAAATGTATGATTCAAGATTCAAAAGTAAAAAATAAAATAAAATCAAACTCAAAAAATTTACTCAGCAAGTTAGAGACAATTAATAAGTAAACTATTAATACAATTACATGCCCACATATTAAAAAATCAATCTTAAGTAAAAGTCAAACTCTATGAATGTGACTCGAATTAAATATAAATTAATCTTACTTTAACCACTCAATCCACCCAATTTGTTGTATAATTTTTAAATATCTACTTTCCATTCAACTCTATATCAATATTAAGTACTTATTTTCACATACTGCATATACCGAACGTTTTTTTTTTTAATGGTGTAATAATCAAGGTAACTACTCATATCTTCTATTTTTCATATTTTCTCAACATAATAATGTTCTGAGCTGTTCACATATTATATGATCATGAGTCTTCAACTAAATCATCACATTTCTCCTCTTTTAATTTTTTTCTTCGGATTAATTATTATTATTAATCATATATAGTCAAAAGTCGAATACATTATATTGATATCTGACAACAACACTAACGTCGGATTATCATCCAACTGTCAAGAATTATACATAAGCCACTAAAAAAAATCATATATTTATTTATCAATAATTGAATGCAACTGAAATGGGACTTTTTTGTCATTATTTTGAGATGATGTTGATAAAAATAATTCGAAAACTTCAAATACTTTAAAGTGATATTTGCATTATTATTTTGTTTTGATATAGCAAAATCATTCCCCCAAGTAATATGAAATTCGCAAGCACTGATGACGATACGAATATCGAGACATGATGCAGATCATGTGATTCTTTGTCTATCTCACCAAATTATTTAGCAAATTGCGTAACAAAATTAATAAATAAATAAAGACTATGAAACAAGTGTTGGAATCACGTTTAGCCAGCCTTTTGTTTTTATTATTATTAGCAAATCTTTAAATATTCTCAAAAATTTGGAGCCAGTGCAGGCACTGTTATAGATTATATCGATGAGGAAAAGTTAAATCGGGAAAATAAGTATAAATTAAATTAAAGCAGCTGTAAGTTGTATGGATTTTATTTGGATTAAAAGATTAAGTTATTATGAGTGAGAAGAAATTTATAATATTTTATATAAATTAGGTTAATTGTACTTTTATTTTGTCGATGGTATCGATTTAATGTCATTTATTGGACATAATACAAAGTTCTTTTATTATACTATTATGTTGAATTTATATCCTCCAATTATACTGTGCTAATTAGCGACTGTGTGAGAGCAAAATCTCAAAGTGACATGAGTTTCTTGTAAAAATGCTTTCTCAGCCAACTTGTTGATAGACTTATTTTGCTCTTGAAGCTGGTCCCATTGAAAATTAATGATTATGAAACAAAATTAAAATAGTGAAATCATACTATTTTGATAATTTAATTATTTAGAATAGAAGTATGTTATATGTATAGTATGCCAGCTAGAATTATTAAAAGTTGAAGAGCAGATATTCCAATAATCCACTACCCAATATATTAACCAATGAAGGAGAATGCTTATAATATAATTTGAGATGAATCTTATAAATGGTGCAGCTGGCAGGGTGATTGGCATGGTAGGTAGGGCACTTCCTAAGATTTTGCTTTCCAATTTTTAGTATTCCATTTGACTTTTAAAACAGGTTAGGTTTCATTCATTGTCAACGGAGAAGCAGAAGCTCCACTAATTTTCATTGTACCATTTCTTTTGGTTCATCAACTCTGTATTTCATGTCCATTTCATTGGTTGACTCTCACTCTTACTTCTTAATTAATTATTCAATTTTAATACCATTTATTCATTACTTGTTTATAATTTCTATATCAACTCCTTGACATGTTGGTTAGGCCACATTAAAGTGTATTTTTATAAATTAAGTTGAAAGTTTGGTTAACTTATTCTACTATTGTTTTCTGCTTGTAATTATTTGTATTATACTGCCTAAGTTATTATGACCAATATGTATGTCTTAGGCTCAATAAAATATAAGTATTGATGCTCCTATAATGGCATTGTTTAGTGAGTGAGATGTCTTGCTTGCTTAAAACCTGTTTCTAATGGTCAAAGTATCTACGAGATCATGTATTATAGTGTTTTGTTCAATTTAGTCATTATATTTTTATTTTGTTCAATTGAAGACAATAGTTAACAGTGTTAATGTTACTATTAATTTAGGTTACGTGGTGCTGACAATTTAACACCGTTAACTATTATCCTTAGTTTCATCACTTTTTAAAGTAGAGAAACTAAATTAAATAAAATAAAGGTAAAAGTACTAAATAGAACAAAACATTACAATACAGCCGTAGAGGGACTTCATAGATATTTGATCAATATAATAGGAGTGAACGATAATAAAATTAAGACTCATACTTTATTTTTAGTCTTCCGGATACAAGTCTTATTTTATTTTATTTTTACAGTCCCTCGGTGTAGTCCACTCCGGTATTCTTCAACCAGGAACCGCCTTGGATCAGCTGCGCCACCGTGAACTTCATCGCCTCCGCTTTGTCGGTGATGACGTGATATCCCGGCCAATTCACTCTCTTGCTAGTACCGGCACCTGGTCCCCTGTTCATATACTCCCCATAATACAAAGTTTTCAATGCAAAGTCGCCATCCCATGGAAACCAACCAGCTGGATCGATGTGGTCCCCAATGTTGGACTCCATGAACACTGTTCTTGAGTACTCTTTCCACGGTCGGCCCAAATATGTTTGTATGGTCCCCTTAACCGGGCCCAGGTCCGAGCTGGGTGATACATTGCAGTTTTGGATCGACGTCCCCGTGTTTTGGTTCGGGTCGGTCCGACCTTGGGCCGTCACCATGTTCTTTTGCGCGGCCATGGGCTTGCGGGCTACGACTTGCGAGTTTTGGATCACTGCCGCGGCGTTGCCGAAGATGAAGTCCACAGTGCCGGTGATGTAGCAGTCCCGGTAGAATTGCCGCTGAC